TTTTGAAAGGTGGCATTACTTTGTCCACATCATTTAAATAAATACAAGTCTCGATCAGGCTGTAACTTCTGGTTCTGGAAGTCAAGTCAAAGCTTCATGTCTTAAAGCTGCTTTCTCTCTAATGTCCACCAGGGGGCGACTCCTCTGGTGTATAGAAGTCTATGAGAAAGTGACTTCTTCAATACAGCATGATCTTCGTTTAGTAAATTATGGTCCATTTAGAGTCAAACAGACCATAAAGCAGGGGATGCTTTAGGGCGGGGCTACACAGTGATTGACAGGTCGTTACTAAGAGGTTTTCCGGTCTGGGAGTTGTCCGTGTTTTCTTCTTACAACTTTTACTCTTTCACAGTGTTTTCACTTCATGAAAGTTAATTGTAACATTTTGGTTGCCTAAAAATGTCAGCGTTTGGTTGTACCGTTGTTGTACCGTTGTGGTTGCAAAAACCAAGATGGCAACGGGCAAAATGCCAACCAGGAGGCTTCGAAACGGCAGTCCACAAACTAATGAACTAATGTGTGACGTAACGGTGACTATACGTCCACTTCATACGTATAGGCTGGTGGGAGGGGACGTGGATGGGTCAAACAAAAAGCGGTCTGTCCCCCAGGACACCGCTGTTATGAAAGGCTACGCTGATTTTTTTATTTGAACCCAAACCACCATCTTTTCCTTAACCGAACCAACTAGTTTTGTTGCCTAAACCTAACTGAGTTGTTTCCTGTGAAGAAGGAAGTTTATTTTGAAAAGACTGTATTCATTTAACAAGCAGAAACCGACAGGTGTTGCTGGACTTTTGTGGGAAAATACAAACTGTTGCATTAAGATACGTTCCAATAGCTCAACAGCACCTCAGACCGTCTCCTCCAGAACGATCTCTGAAACAAAACAGAACAGAAAGAATCGCTATGAAGGAAACAGGACTGCTGTATTAGACGGTATTCGTTTTAGCTAGCTGTACCCAATGAACCGCATGTTTTCAGGGAAATGATCATCTCTTTGTGGACTTTTTGGTTTGTGTACGTTTACAACAGGACAGACTAAAGTAAAGAGCTGCTCCTGCAGCAGAGCTTCTGGCCTCTTTGTGTTGTGTTCAGCTCCCACTGGGTGCCAATACACATCAATAAACCCATTGATTACTTAATGCTCCTTCCGGGTAGTGAGTGAAGAGGAAAGCTGTTTCTAAAACACAGACAGAGACAGGAAGAGAGCGAGAGAGGATCCCAGACGGCTGTTTATTATTCTGACACTACAGTTTAGATGTGCGACTGTAAAACAATACATGAGTCAGTGTGGGATTCCAGTGCAGCTTAACAAAAGAGTAGAAATTGATAACATTCCAGTAGAAAAGAGAGAGAAAGGGCCCCGTTTATTAAAATCACGGTAACTTTTATCTGAGCTCAAGCTGATGAAAAATTAAAATGTCTGCAGGTTCGATATTGTGAGATAAGTCAAACCGTATAAATTCTATCTATTCTTCGCGGGGAATGACTTCCATTTGCCTTCGATGCAATATGCAGGATCGAATCAAGCCGAAGGATCATTTCTAATAGACGAGGCCCGCCCCGTCTCCAGAGAGGTGGATTCACGGTGTCGCTCGGCAAAGACTGCACATCATCATCAGCCCGCCGAGGAGAGCGTGATGGAGATCAAGGAGAGGGGGAGGACAGAGAGCGAGAGAGCGAGATAGAGAGAGAGAGAGAGAGGGTGGAGAAAGAAAGAAGATGCTGAAAGAGAGAGGAGGCGCTTGTCAGAGAGGAAACAAGAGGACCTCCTTCTAGTGTCGAGACGGAAAGTAGAAACAAAAGGAAGAATCAAAAAAGCATCTCTGCTCCCAGTGAAAAGTCTGGGACAGGCTGGAGAAGGGAGGACGGGAGGTTGTACATTCAAGTGGCAAAGCCGAAAAATCCTGCGCTGAAAGGTGTGTGTGTGTGTGTGTGTGTCTGTGTGTGTGTGTGTGTGTGTGTCTGTGTGTGTGTGTGTGTGAGGGAGTGCAGGGCTCAGATCACAGGGGTCGCCCCTTCATTCTCTCGCCAAAAAAAGTTTGCTCGCAAAAGCTGACAAGTGGCAAAGTTTTCTGGCGAATTCGCTGACAGAAAAACTCTCAAACTGGAGACAAAGCCACCGGAAGAGGTGGTGTCCCCCCCCCCCCCACCCCCACACACACACGCACTAGATTTTAAAGTTACTCACAGCTCATTCTGAATCACTTCCTGCTAAACTTCTAAACTGGCTCCATCTGTCTCTATATTGCCGGCTTACTGTCTGTGGTTTATGTACGGAGGCTGGAGTGCTGTAACTAAACGTGTTTAATCGATCAATAAAGTTATACATGTAAAATTAGCATTTAATTAAAATGTAAAAGTGATTAGAATTGTTTTTTTAAACCGTTTATAATTCTGTTTGGTCATTCTGTGTTTCTTTTGTTTGTTATACTTTTGTAAATCACTAAAAGCTCTGATTGGTCAGATTTCTGGTTTGCTGGGCGGACGCATTAAAAACCTATTTAAAAAACCATTTCAAATATAAATAAAAAATGAAATAGAATTGGCAAATTGTAGATTCAAATAATATGTTTTTATAATTAATTACTAAAATCAAGACATTGATTTTAAGAAAACCAAGAAAACGTTTTAAAGTGGCCTTCCACAAAACCAGTATTAGACATTAAAACACGTGTAAGTAATCAGTTATTGATATAGTGGTTACTGTTCATACATCTGTGTTAGATATGGTGATATAAGTTACTCTGCAATATTAAAAAATAAATAGATTTGCTGCTGCTCTGAGTCGGTCACATGCAGCCACTTTGGTGCAGATTGTGTTCAGTTGTTTTGGGGGATTTGAGGTGCATTTACTGGGACTCTGTGTTTTGGGGGAAAAGCTTGTTAAACAACCAACACGGTTTTGTTCTTCTGGGGAGTGAAGTGTTGAACTGACTGACTCACTACTTTCCTTAGAAAATGGACTCTTCATTTAGATTTCATCATTAAGTTTGGCTGGTGGATATAAATAACTGATATCTCATCTTATGTACACACGTAGATGTATGTGTAATCTTAATCCTGCTCACCTGTCGACACTATGAGCCTCTTTACAGCTGTGAGAGAATCAACTGTTGCATAGCTTTGCATGATATTCGATATATATTTATATATGTTAGAGATATGAAGCATAATGGCGTGTGCTGCTCTACACGGGTACAGAGGCAGCCATCATGGAAGTGATCCGATAGATCCAGATGAACCTGCTGCCGAGGCGTCCCTGAGCAAGGCACTTGCCCCTGATTCTTGCAGGGGATCCGCTCAGTGGCCAACAGCAGAGACGGAGAGTGCGAGGTGTGCAGAAAACAGGCTCGTGTGCACATTTAAATAAAACAGCACAACAGAAGCCATCAGAAGTAGAAAGTCCAGAGTAAAGGCTGATCAGCATATCGAGACAGAAGTCTCGCGTCTCAGCTCGTCTTCAACCGGGGACATTTTGTGCCAATTAACATGACAAAGTTATTGATCTTCATCAGTTTCCAGCAGACACAGATGTTTCAATTTCAGCACAATAAGTGCTTTGGTGGGACATATTGACACGGATGTTTTTCATTTGAGATTATAGTTTTTCTCCAAGAAAAATAAAACATCTGTTGACATTTACGTCGTTGACGCGCATCTTCAGTACTGAATGCCGATCAGACTACACACAATATTTGCATTTTCAATGGTCGCCATGAGAGATTATGAGATCATGATGCCTTCAAGTCCTGCTCTGATTTAAGGGATCAATCAAAACTTTAGACCTGTAGACGACAAGGGACGAGGCGTCGCCACGTTTCCAGGTGGAAAAGTAGGCGGGGCTTTAACTTCTCTCTCCCCACATCCGTTTTATTAATAACTGACCGTCTTCCAGTAGAGAGAGTCCGGCGTGTGCACAGGTTACACATTTGTACGACTGATCACGTCTCTCTCCTCTTTCTATGCAGCGGGAGGCTTTTTCTGTCTCACCTTCAAACGTTCAGAATAATAGATGCGTTTCCTACAGCAGCGGTTCTTAACTTCTACGGGTCACCAGATGGTTATGAAGACAAAATAACAGAATAAACCACTTGGCAGCATACAGCTCATGTGGAGATGTTTTAAAAGTGACAAAGGAGGTGCAGACAGTTCATGATCGATCAACGGGTCGGCATCGGGGGTTTGTGAGTCAAAAATGTCCCCGGTGCTGAATCTGGGGGGCTCAGGACTCAAAAAGGTTGACAACCACAGCTCTATAGGAGGGTAATTAGCATAAATCAATTATTTTCAAGCATATCTCTGCATATAGACTTGCAATGTTAACATCCCTGCTGTCCACATTGTCATGCAGGCTGTCGCAGATTCTGTGGAACTAGTTAAAGAGGGCGAATAACTTCTAGCAATCTACCAATGTCCTCTCCTGACACCGGAGGTCAGCTTGGGTTATTTTGAGTATCCTGGAGTCTGATAAGGATTATATTATATTTTGTCCTTTTTAAAGAAAGATGTTGTATTTGCAGCTCTGCTGTCTGTATAGAAACCGGGCAGCGGCGCCCTGGTGGGCTGGAGGTTTAGGATGCTGACCACGTTTATTGCACGTCATTCCCCGTCTCTCTCTCCTGTTAACTGTTTAATAAAGGCATGAAAAGAAATCCAACCAGCTGTTAGTTTATCCAGCAGCTAACGAGCCCTCTGCAGCCACCAGCAGGGGAAAACCTCCGATTCACATTAGCCCGTTTTCTGCCACCAGTGCATCCCCTCACACTGTCCATAACAAAGCAGGAGTGACATGATCTTCCATGATGGCTACCGCACATCTGTGTTCTGCCTTATTCAATGTGATCATGTGTGTGTGTGTGTGTGTGTGTGTGTGTGTGTGTGTGT